GACCCATTAACCATCGATTTATCAAAAAATATAGAAAAAACAATATTAAAATGAATCTGAATCCACTATAAAGACCGTCTATGAAAAGGAATGTTGTTAGTGCGCCAAACTATTCATTACTTTCCACATATTTTTTGAATTTGCAAAAAGTTGTTGTATGAAAACATATTTTTTAGTTAACAACGATGAGTTTTGAATTTTTGACTCTTCTCTTCTCTTAAGATTCTATGCAAGTAGTTAAATAAGTTTGGTACAACAACTTTAGCAAGATTACAAGAACCTTAAAAGTATAATTTCATGGGACCATCTACATATTTTGGCCAACATTAACTAGGCATAAGAAACCACATGGTTCAATATAGTGGTTGAGCTTTCATTATATAAACCAGTTTTGAAAATAAAAAGCTTTCATCTTATATTATTTTTTTGAGGGCAATCAAAAAAGATTTTCTAGATTTTAAATCTTTATTCTCTAGGTTTCATGTATTGTTTAACAAGTTTGTGTTACGTTTTGTTGGGGTCATGTTGACCTGTCGATTTGAGGGGCCAAATAATTTCATTCATTTATCGTCAAATCAACTAATGTTAGACTTAAATACATTAATAACCTTGTTAGTATCTATTAATTTGTTCACTACCTTTTACTTTATACTTCCCTGGCCTCGAGGTACTAGCCTAAGGATTCTCGGGGGCAGAGCGACGACGAGGCATGTTCTAGAAGTGATAAAAATAGAGGGAGTTTTTCCACAAAGATCCCCAAGAAGGCTTCCGGGGGTTGATCGCTGGATGGCAACCAGAAAACACCTCCGGTAATCGGAAAACCAAAAGAGACAGAAGGGCAAAGAAATGGAGGATACTGGAACTCACCAGAGCGTAAGAAGAGGTATTTTCTGAAAAACTTGAATCGATTCCTTCCCAGAATGTTCAGAAACAAAGGATGGGTCTGCTTGCTTTGAAGCTTCAGTGAAAAGGTTGGACAGTTAAGAGACAGAAGAGAAGAGGTCTCCGGCGAAGATTCAGGCAAGGACTTTCTGGAAGAAAAGTTCAGAATGACGAAATGAGAAAAAGAGGGAGGAAGCCCATTTATATAGTACCGGTCTCATCATTAGGCGCGAAACACGAAAGGGTGCATTTAATCCGCACGACTCCCTAAGCAAGGGAAAGTGGCTAGAGGCAATGATGAAACAGTTGAGGTTGTTGAGAAACCCTTCGTCTCCTTACGACGTGTGTCCTCGGCGTCAGAAGATCAAAGGCTGGGGAGCAGTTGATGGGACTTTTCTGAAATACTCAAAGATAAAGACACGTGTCCTCGGGCGTCACTAAAAATCCTGTTAACTGAGATCACGTACCATCGGCTTATAAATCCCTCGCCCCGAGGTGCTTGATACGTGTCGAGTACGTTTTACGAACCGACACGTATCCTCGGTCTAATATGGTACCTCAGTCTTGTATTGTACCTCGGTCATCATGTACGGCTTTCCCTCGGCTCGAGGTGTACCTATCCTCGGTACCGAGATGTGCATTCCCTCGGTACCGAGATGTACCCCGTCCAAGATACTTTTTTCTCTGCTCCAGTATAAGTTATTGATGTACAGGTCACTAGCCTAAGCTAGTCTAGGTTAGCTATCATGGTCTCGTCTTACACAATTGGTGTCAGAAGGAATAGGAAGGCATGGTCCACAGCCAATGAGGGATGGACGCGTGGCAAATTGTGTCACATCAGAGACAGAAAAACCGCATGCCCTTACTGACACGCGACTTGGGAAAGCAAACATTTAATTACACTATTCCATTGATGAGACCGCATTCAATGCGGTAAGGCTCGGAATTGAAAGGCAATAAATGTCTCTAAGGCTGGGCATTTATTGCATCCTCCCCGAGCGGGGATCATCAGACAGTCGGCAGCTCGATGACACAGCATTGATTGCTCGGCACCCCGAGCAGTTAAAGAAAGGAAGACATTCCTCATCAGAATCAGTGCGCACACTGCCTGTACCTAATGATCATCTACTGACAACACTGACAGCAATCATAAGCTTTTGAGGTATAAATACTCCTCATAAAAGGCAAAATGGTATGCAACAAGAAACTCTTTACCACGAAATATACTCAATGCTTTCTTCTTCCTCTCCCTTTCAAAAACTGACTTGATCGTCGGAGGGGATAAGCCGGAAAACACTCCGGCGCCCTTCTAACTTGTTCTCCTTTGTTCCAGGAATCTTTTCTCAACCTTACTGGATCATTCCTTCAATTCACGAGGCCCTTCCGTTACCTTTCCAGGTTACCACCGGACCTCGCAGGCTGTCTCAAGCAGTGTGGTTGATCACTCAACTGACCCATTCGAGTTCATCAAGGGAGAGATATGTTCTCGTTTTTTATATTGTGCAAGATTCTGCACGCACAATATCAAATTTTTATTGATTTATAATTATACCTAAAATTACAAGACTAATTAAATCGGGGGTGTTAAGATTATTTTAATTGAATTTTAAAAAAAATAAAAAAATAAAGAACCCCAGAAGGTATCTTAACGAGGCATGCCTAGGGCCGGCCCTTCGTTAAACGAAGCCAAACAAAGGTGGGATCATGACAAAGGATTTGTTTATAAGCCACATGTCATGCGCCCGTGCTTGAATATAAGAATCCATTGAGACTTCTGGCTCTAGGCCAGGTGCAAGGATCGCCATACCGAGCAATGCTATCGAAATTTAAATTATTGATCAAATTTATTGACTTAATTCACTATAATTTTTGAATTGACTGTGAGTTCTATCAAATATTGGAATTTGATGTTAATCCAATGGTTTCAATGAAGCCACGTCATTAGATCAGCAAAATATGTCAAATTTTTAGGTCCAAATAATATTTTTCTCAAACCAATATACAAATTCCTAATCCAGGTGGTTATAAGTAAATTTTCTGAAAATTTAATAAAATTGAAGTGACGTCCAGATACAATTCTTTCAAATTTTATTTGAATAAAGTTGTTCAAATGAGAATAGATATTTAGATTAGATTTCTAGTTTTACTAGATATGAATATGAATTGTAAAAGTGAAATTCTTCGAATAATCGGAAAAGAATTCGGGTTGCATTTTTTTTTTAAATCCGACCCTTTAAGATACCTAGCTGCATCAAGCCATTGAACAAATTGTTACTCTGCATGGAATTCAATTTTGTTTTGGTTCAAAGTCTACATCGTAGCTGTTTAGAATAAAAGTTCAAGGTCAAAACACACAATACCATGGAAGAAAATTCAGAATTGAATGATGATGGGAACTAAAAATCGGATTTTTATTCAATATGAAAGTTTTTTAATTGATTTTTGTGGAGGTTGAGATTAAACTTTTATTCTCTATTTAATCGAAAGAAGAAGTCAAACAAGATTTTCTAGGGTTACAAATCTCTGTTTTCATTAAAAGTTCCCTAAACAAAAGTTGGACCAACGGAAAATATTTGTTTGTGGGGCACGGCGTGTTTGACACAAAAATTGTAGCTGCATCAATCAAGCCCCTAACCAAATTGTTTCTTTGCAAATTGGCACCAATTGATTCGGCGGTTGAATTAAAGATATAACATAAATTCACACGTGCTAATTTTGAATTCTTGTGATTGAATAAAACTTGAATATAACAAGTGTGTGAGACGTTTGTAATGTGATTGCATCTTGATTTCGAGTTTTGTTGATTGAATAAAAATTCAAATCTAACAAATGTGCATGATTTTTGCAATGTGATTACATCCTAATGCCTGAGTTCTTTTTAATAGGGTTAGTAACACTTTTGATCCTTAAATTTTATACGTTTTGTCAATTTAGGCATCAATGTATGAATTTTGACAATTTGGTCCATAAAACATTCAATTCGTGTTTAAATGGACATTAGTCAGACAATTCGTAAATTTTTTGATAGAAGTGATCATATGTCATTCTTTCAGATCAGTTTCGTTACAAACTTAACAAACCGTTTGGGTAGAGACTATTTACACATGAACTCAATATTTTAGGATGATTTATCAAAAAAATAAAAAATGTTTCATTGCATTGGAATTCAAACAGCTCTTGGTTCCAAGTCTACATTGCAATAGTTTGAAATTATGGATAGGAAACATCTACCACGAAGGAAAATTCAGAATCCAATGAAAATGAGCAAGTTTGTTTTGTTGACTACTAGAGCCCATGGTGACGGCCTTAAGACTTCTGTTACGGTCCTCATAATAAAGCTCAAACCAAAACCAACTTACTGGAAATTATCGCAATAAGTCATGTTGTATTAAAGTTCATATCGTGGAAATTAAATCATGTCAAAATTTGTCCTATACATATCTGAACCATTTATACTCCTGTATAAACCAAGATTCATCTCGTATAACGTATAAGTCATGTTTAATAAAGGTATTAAACCAAATCTGAATCAAGATCCTATACATGACTATTATTTGCTCCTAGGATGTGAAAAAAATAGGAACTCAACGTCCAAAAGAAAGTTGTCTCTAAAGGGCATGGAAGAGCAATCAGTCTTGATGGTTTGGAAAATGCATTAGTATGATCTACAAAAACAATTTAACATTTACATTCTGTGGGAAAAAAATCAAAACTAATCAATACTTTTATTTGTTTTGATTTTGATTAATTTTGATTTCCTGTTCCCTATGACATTTTGCTAACATATGATTTGTTTTTGTCTTTCTGTCCAGAATGTACAAGAAAATTAGTGGATTGGAACAAATCTCTAGTGAAGGAAACAGATGAAAAAGGATGTAGTCCACTCCATTATGAAGCATTGTTTGGATCTACATTTGTAGATAATTCAATTGCACATATATTCTCCCAATTAGATACGGATAATTCTATTGCTTCACAACTATTAGTTGCGGATAGTTCTGTTGTATATCTTGTAGACAATGACAAAAATATAGCTCTTCATATAGTAGTTAGCACATGCAATTATTTTGTAGTTGTATACCTCATATTACGGTGTTCAGATTGTCGTGAAATGGTGAATGGTAAAAGACAATATTATTCACATCGCACTAGAGCATGAAGATGAGAACATGGTACAATGCTTTTTAGATACCTTCAGAGGAACCTGCAACGATCTTGTAACACAGAAAGACGTAGATGGCAACACAACTCTCCATTTGATGGCTGCTTCCAATCTCAAAATGCCTCAACTCATAAATCATTTTATGGCAGATAAGGCGGCCTTAAACAAGCAAAATTGCACTCCCCTAGACATGGCACCTAGAAAACATGGTGATTTATGGGTAAGAATGTAATGTCAAACCTTTTTCTTATGTTTAAGGAGTTATGATGGTGATTTATGTCATTCAATTAATAAAAAGAACAAGGATAAATTTACACTAATGTTGGTTTTCGAAGTATGTGTTCAATTTCACTTTAATCTCTTAATTTTTTAATTTTATAGTTCTAGCTCTTAAATTTTTTAATCTATTTTTAAATGCTCCTATTGCTCAATTTTGTCCAAATATAATTGTTTTTTAAAAAAACTTCTAGGACTAAAATCACTGAATTAAAAGTTGAGGGACTAAAGCAAGAGTATGTGCATACTTCACAGCCACCAACATAGTTTACCCAAATTAAAAAAAAAAAAAAAAAAAAGGAAGAGTTTAATCTCTAGTGATCAAGGGATTGGTCTATCTTTTGCTAAAGCTGCATAGATATCCTCCCACAACATGGGGGTTCTACCCATCTTCCCTAATTTTTCATGGGACAAGAATATCCCATGACTCCCATTTATCTTGATGTACTGTATTTATGGGTGTTAATCGAATCGATTTTTGTAAGCTTGAGTTTGAGTCTGTCGAGCTCGTATTTTAAGCGAGCTGAACTTAAACAATTTTTTAGGCTCATTTTAAGCGAGACCGAGTAACTCAACTATTTTACATATAAATAAGTCGAGCCTTTTAAAACGAGCTTAAAAAATTATTTAAATTCAGCTCGTTTAAAATACGAGTCAAGCACGAACTGTGGCCTATTCGAACCGAGTCGAAATAACTTATCTTGATTAGCACCCTAACTCTATTATAGTGAAGGGTACTTAGGTCATGATTCAAGTTCAGACATAGGCTGAGTATTGCTTTTTTTCTTCCCCTTTTTTTTTTTTTTTGACAAGAATCAATGGATAATTCATTTGATTCATAGGAAACTTACATCATTATGGTTGAGAAGTAATAAGAAATTCGATGCCTTGTTTCTCCAACTATATAAAATCATCACAACTGACAAGTGTTTTTTCGTTTTTGTAATATGTAATTTTATCAGATGGCACTCAGCAGAGCTGGGAGTACTTCGAGCTTTCAAAAAGTGATGAGCTGCCGTCAAAGCGAGATAAAGAAAGTTACCGTAGAGAAAGATTTGTTAGCTCAAGAGAAGGAAAAACTAGCAGAGATGAGGAAAACATTTGACACCAATATGATAGTGGCTGCAGTTATAGCCACCGTACCGTTTACGGCTGGATTCACCATGCCTGGTGGCTACAACGAAAGTGGCACTCAAAATCCAGTCCCAGGAATGGCACTGCTATCACAAAAAATCTGCTTTTCAAGCATTTATGGTATCAGATGCTATAGCCCTTTTACTCTCTTGTGTACCTATATTTCACAACTTTTGGGGGGGCATGGATAGAGAAGTTTTACATTTTTGAGAAATATGCCTATGCCACTATGTATCTAATTACTGCAGCCATTTTAGCGATGATGGTTGCATTTAGTACAACAACTTATGTGGTGTTGGAACAATCATTGACCCTCGCAATCACCACCTGCGTTGTTGGTGTCATCTCTATACTCATTTCTTTTTTATTGCGTTGTAAATTTATGTGGTAAGAATAGTTTTTTTTTGGCCCCTTGAAAGAGTTTTTTACCATAAAAATGGTCATCTTTATATATATTGCAATTTTTTTATTCTTTTTTTAATTTATTACTTTTTGTCTAAAAGGTAGTTTTAATTATATGTTTTCTCTAATATCAATCAAAATATAGCAATGCCAATTGAGTTTGTTCAAGTTAGTGCCCGTGTACAAATATCCTAGACAAGAAAATAGTAATATATTACACGATTGTGTAGTTATTTGGTATTTCCAAAACTCTTATTACCCTAACCAAATTGTTTGGAAATTGTCAATGGCAAAGGACAAGATATGCTTCACCACTAATACTATTAGAACACAACTTGAAGACTTAATACATTATCAGTTTTGGATTGATAGTGATGTGCATTCAAAATTAGGATTCTAAAAAACTATGCCATAAAAGAACCAAGAAATATAATCTTCAGCTAACAGCAAACACCATTTCTAGAATTCTTTAAGAAGGGCATCCACTTCTTTTGTAAAGAAAAAGAGCATCTACGACTAATAGAAAAGGTTCACAAAGAGTTCAGTCACAAAACAACAACACTGAGCGCAGAAATTTACCCCATAAACTAGCTAGATTTCATACAGTTGAAGACTAAGCACAATGAGACATCAAATGTTTACACAAAATGTCCTACATTAACGCATAAGAACCACCACCAAGGGCCGAATATGAAGGTAACATTTTAAGAAACGGGCCCAAGAAAATCCCCCTCCAAGCTAACAACTGCTTGCAATTCCCTCTGAGCCTCTATATACTTTTCCCCAATCACAATGAAACGCACCACCACATCTTTCTCAATTTTCGGCATCTTTTCATTCATGAAGATGGGATTTTCCCCAGGCACATACTCATATCCGGGCATTTTCTTATTGGAGAGATAAATGTTCTCGATAGGCCCACATCTCAAAAAAACTCCGTGCTTCAAAATCTTGTGTACAACTCCCTCCAAGATTTCTCCCCTGTAAATCCTGAAGGTGATGCAGCTGAAGACAACAGGAAAGAGTACATCCCCTGAGTTTTGTCTAACCTTCCCTTCCCCAATGCTCTCTAATGTTGTCACCGCAAGACAATAACCAAGATCTTTCGTGGCCTTCTTGATCGAGAACCCATCCATCAGACGAATGATGATTGCCCGTTGAAGCATCAACCCTTTAGCATCCAAGTTTTCAGCAGGAATTATGATTTTCCATGGCAACTGTACTTCTCATTTGTCGATGTGGTACAAAAATAAAAGGTATTGGTTTGTCTTTGTCTTTGAACTTCTCCTCATCTCCCCTCCTTTGTCTTTAAACTATTACTTTATTATTATTTTTTGTATTAATTTCTTTACTTCTTTTTTTTCGGGTAATTTTTTAAAATAATTATTAATTTATTTTTATATTAATTTTATTTAAACAGGTAAACTTGTGATAAAAGGTTTGACAAGTCTCACCAAAACACGACTCATTTGTTAAACGTGTCTCGCGAATCAACTCATTTACTACTCAAACCTATTAAGATCTCACCAAACCCACTTAATTCGTGTCGTGTCGAATTTTGACAGGCCAAATATAAACCAATTTTGAAAATAAAAAGCTTTTATCTTATATTAATTTTTTGAGAGCAATCAAAAGATTCTTTGGGTTTGAAATCTCTATTCTCTATGTTTCATGTATAGTTTAACAAGTTTGTGCAGCGTTTCGTTGGGAGTCATGTTAATATGTCGGTTTGAGAGTCTGAATACTTTCATTTATTTATCGTCAAATCTGTTAAGGATAGATTCAAACTCATTAATATTGTGTCAATTTTTTATTCGTTTATAATTGTACGTAAAATTACAAGACTAATTAAAATTGGGGGCGTTAAGATTATTTTAATTAAATTTAAAAAAAAATTAAAGAATTCCAAACATAGCTATTAAATTGCAGGCCCTAGGCGACGGTCTTACTAAGGCATGCCTAGGGCCGGCCATACGTTAAACTAAGCCGAACAAAAGTGGACCATGACAAAGGATTTGTTTATAAACCACACATCTCATGCACCCGAACTTGAATATAAGAATCCACCGAGACTATTGGTTCTGGGCCAGGTGCAAGGATATGGATATGAATATGAATTGTAAAAGTGAAATTCGTTGAATAATCGGAAAAGAATTTGGGTTACATTTTTGAAATCCGACCCGTTAAGATACCTAGCTGCATCAAGCCATTGAACAAATTGCTACTCTGCATGGAATTCAATTTTGTTTTGGTTCAAAGTCTACGTTGCAGTTGTTTAGAATAAAAGTTCAAGGTCAAAACACACAATACCATGGAAGAAAATTCAGAATTGAATGATGATAGGAACTAAAAATCAGATTTTTATTCAATATGAAAGTTTTTTATTTGATTTTGTAAGCATCTAGAATTTTAGTTTATAGAAATCCTATCGGTGGCAATGCTGAGGGCGGGATTTGGCATAGTGATAAAGTTACTCTATTTTGACATACACTTTAGAAACTTGGCGTGCAGAAACACACCCAAAGGTAAAGTTGTGTACCTTGAACTCCCTAAACCTTACAATAGTAGAAATCTCGTATATTAGATTGTCCTTTAATTTGGTTTGATTAAGAAAAAATTGCTCCATAGCAAATCGGTACTAATTGATTCAGCGGTGAAATTAAAGATATAACATAAATTTACACGCTTTGATTTTGAATGTTTCATGATTAAACAAAACATGAATCTAACAAAAAGTGTTTGTGATTGAATAAAACAGAAGCAATGTTATGCTTACCAAATCATTTACCAAATATTTTGAATCCCAAATTAGTGTGGGTGATTGAATTAGTGGAGTCCACCAACTCTACCAAATATTCAATGTATAGGATTTTGTCCCATTGCATAGTTTCCAATATTTCAGGCGTGTATTGCAAGGAGAACTGGCAATAGGGTGACACACTAGTTTGCTAGGATGCAAATTTTATTGATAACTCTGATGTAAGAGAGGAGGAGGCATTTGATTTCATCATACCCCATGTTTCTAATTAATCGAATACTTATCGTTTCTTTCAAAAAAAAAAAAAAAAGGGTACTAATTTATTCAACAGCTGAATTAAAGACATAACATAAATTCACCCGTCCTATTTTGAATTCTCGTGATTGAATAAAACTTGAATCTAATAAAAAGTGTGTGACGTTTGCAATGCGATTACATCCTGGTTTCGAGTTTTGTTGATTGAATAAAACTTTTGAATCTACCAAATGTGCATGATTTTGGCAACGTGATTATCTCTTGTTTTTGAGTTTTTTTAACAGGTTAATAGAACTTTTTGTCTCTAAAAATATAAGCGATTTGCCAATTTATTCCTTAATGCATAAATTTTGCCAATTCGATCTCTAAAATATTTAATTCGTATTTAAATGAACCATAACCAAACCATCCATAAGTTCTTTGACGGAAATGACAATCATGTGTTATTCTTTTAAACAGTATCACGTGACTAACACATGATCACTTCCGTCAAAAATTTAGCAAACCAAATGTGCAGAGACCATTTACATGCTAACTCAATATTTTAAAGATTAAATTGACAAAATTAATAAAATGAGAACCAAGCTGACAAAACATACATATTTTAGGGACCAAATGTGCATGATTTTGGTAATGTGATTAATTAACATCCGAGATTGCCATAAATCTAGAACTCGTATGGTTAGGATGATTTATCAAAAAAATAAAAAATGTTTCATTGCATTGGAATTCAAACAGCTCTTGGTTCCAAGTCTACATTGCAATAGTTTGGAATTATGGATAGGAAACATCTACCATGAAAGAAAATTCAGAATCCAATGAAAATGAGCAAGTTTGTTTTGTTGACTACTAGAGCCCATGGTAACGGCCTCAATACATCTGTTACGGTCCTCATAATAAAGTTCAAACCAACTTACTGGAAATTATCGCAATAAGTCATGTTGTATTAAAGTTCATATCGTGGTTAGGTTATATTAAATCATGTAAAAACTTGTCCTATACATATTTGAACCATTTATACTCCTGTATAAACCAAGATTCATCTCATGTACAACTCGTATAACGTATAAGTCATGTTTAATAAATTTATGTCGACCCATTTATTAATGGGTGTAAATAGGGGTGTTTAAATTTTCGATTACCTTACCCTAATCTACCTTACCCGACTCTATTGAACGGCTAACCGAAAAATTGGGTAGGAATGGGTGGATAACTTCCACCGTATAAGTTATCCACCCATTTCTTGAGTCCACTCATTTATCACCGAACCTGCTAAGACTAAACCTTAAACCTACTAATTTGTGTAAATTTTGTATCGAAGTCGCTGATCGTGTCTAAGATTGTCAAGTCTAATACTTCAAAGTCCAAAATTTTCATCCTTGATGTACCCCCATTCTTTTGATTTGTGCTTCTGGAGTTTGTATTGGTACAATGAGTTCAAAAAAAAAGTCCTTGGTTTGAACATTCTTTTTTAAGTAAAAATATCTATAATATAAAACATAGTGGACTTCAACAAGTCGATCGAACGATCACAGTTCATTTCATCCAACGATCATTAATACTTATTTCATTTCCCCCTAAATTCATCGATTTTCACTCATACTATTTTTCAAAAACAGACGTCTATCAGATGCCGCCTCTCCTACATTTCTTTTTTTTTTTTTCCCATCAAAATCAGGCCTCTCTCTTTTTTTTTTCTTCATTGTTTTTTCTTCTTCTCTTTTTTCCTCCGTCAATCCTCTCTCTCTATTACACCCCAACAACAACACCACCACTACTAGCGCCACTTCCTTAGCAACACCACCACCACTACCAGCGTCACTTCGTTAGCAACACCACCACCACCGCCGCCACTGCTAACCCCTCCCAGGTATCCCTCATCTCTCTATATCTCTCTCACACACACACACACAAAAACACACATACTAACCCCAATCCTACTCCCACCTCTTCTCTGCCCTTTCTACGCAAAACCACCCCCACCCTACCCCCTATCTCTTCGGTGCCCTCTCTCTCACACACACACATCTTAGCTTTGCTTTGCAGCAAACTCTTGGATGTTTTCTGTGAGGTATCCAACAGTTACATGGTGGTGGAGAGCTGTGAGTGGATATTACGGAGGATCTCCCTCAATTTTACAATATGCGTTGATCTATCAATGTCACTGTTGCCAAGCACAAAGATGCCCCTCACTTTTTTTGGCCAAATGGTGCAGATCTTTATCAAAGCTTCAATCCCACACACGTCCACCCAGCATCTCCACCACCAACCATAGACACCACATGTTTGACAAAAGTTCTCAGAGAATTTTTGCTCAATTTCTTCCATACTATTTTTCAAAATCATATATGAGTGTCTAATACTCGCCATTTTGAATTTAGCTTTGTATGTTATTTCGGTCTTTCTTAAAACACTCTATTTCTGTCTACCTTTTGCCACAATAGTTTTGTGAAAATCTCAGGTATACCAGGCTCTATTATATATATATACACTTTTCGTTGTTGTAAAGCAGCTTTATTGAGCATTTGTTCCTTTTTATTCTTCTCTTTTTTCTTTAGGTGTGGACAACTTCTAATTGGAATGCCGAATATGGAGTTTTCTTATTATTAAGCAGTAATCCAAGGATACTAATATGCCTTTTATTTTCATCAGAAGTTTTATATGATTGGACGGAACAAGAACAGAACCATTTGGAGAGTATTGAAGATTGACAGGTCTGAGCCTTTAGAACTAGACATTATTGAGGATTCAACGACATATCTTATGTTGTTATCTGCATATTAACCTTCAGTCAAGGGATCAATTCACCATGGGGGATAGGAGAATCTTTGTTCAGGTTAGTTCAAGCAATAACCCAAGTTGTAATTTTTGTTCTTATTTCTCATCCTTTGTCCCTTAGAATATATTGGGTTGAAAATTTTATTGTTCTGTGCTTATTCTCTGTTAGGGCTATCTTTTGGCTGAGCAATATATTTCTTTATCTATATTTTGATTTGGTTTGAACTTAGTTGTGATAATTTATCCAGGCTGAAAATTGAGTTTGATTAAATTGGATTTGGGGGCAAGGGTAGTAGATATGGTATGGGGATGGATCCATGTATTAGATGTATGGGTCAAAACCTTTAATTATGTATGTCTTCACGGACATACGTGGAAGTGTAAAAAATTTGGAGGGGCGGAATCTTTATAAAAGGGGAAATGCTATTTGG